ATATCATTTCCATTATTACCCTTTTAATTTTAAATTTTTTTGAATCTTTTTAAATTTCAATTTTAATTTTAAAAATCTTTTAATTTTATTTTTTATCTCAATATGAGGTTATTGGGTTGTTCTTGCGTTCTCGTAAATCACAGGGGTTCTCGTTTGAACCCTTCCCTATATATATATATATATATATATATATATATGTATTGTAAGAAAAAATTCTTTTAAAATTTCCGACGGAATTTAATTTTTATTTAAAAAAATTAAATTCCGTCGGAAATTTTAAATCTTTATATATAGATATCTTGTTTGGAAAAAAAATTAGAAAACATTTTTTAAAATTTTCGACGGAATTTAATTTTTATTTAAAAAAAATTAAATTCCGTTGAAATCCATCGAAAAGTTTAAACGTTTATATATATATATATATATATATATATATATATATATATATCTTGTTAGGAAAATATTTAAAAAACATTTTATAATTTCCGACGGATTTCTGACGGAATTTAATTATTAAATTCCGTTGGAAATCTGTCGGCAATCTTAAACCTTTATATATATATATATATATATATATATATATATATATATATATATATATATATCTTGGTAGGAAAAAAAATAAAAAAAACATTTTTTTCTAAATTTTCCGACGGAATTTAATTTTTATTTAAAAAATTAAATTTCGTCGAAAATCCGTCGGAAAATTTAAAACTTTATATATATATATATATGTGTGTGTATCTTGGTAGGGAAAAAATTAAAAAAATTAACAAGAGTCATGATTGCAACGTGTTCATGCAAATATTGCTCCCTATTTTTCATTAGAGGGATGGTACCGAATCCAATATGGGACGCTATCACTGAGTTGTGCACATTCTTTCGTGCAATATGCTCGAAAGTGGTCCATGTTGACGACTTGCTTCAATTGCAGACGAGAATAGTTGAAACTACATGCAAGTTGGAAAGAGTCTTTCCACTGGGGTTCTTTGATTCCATGGAACACCTTGTGGTACATCTAGTGCGTGAAGCATTAGTTGGTGGTCCGGTTCAATATCGATGGATGTATCTCTACGAGAGATGTCTAGGGTCTTTGAAAAGGACAGTAAGAAACAGAGCAAGGGTAGAAGGGTCGATTGTGGAGGCATATTTGATTAACGAACTATCTATGTATTGCTCGTTGTATTTTGAACCAACAGTAGAGACGCGGCTAAATCGTGAGCCTCGGAATTTTCCCCCCGAATGTTCGTCTTCCGATGTGCGGTTAAGCATATTTAAGACTCCGTCTCGGAAACTATATGGTAAGGCTGGAACACACTGTCGGCTACAAGATGGAGATCTACACAAGGCTCACACATACATCTTGTTGAATTGTGAAGAA